TTCCAGTCTCAGAGTACAGTTAATTTACAGGCCCAGCTTCTGACTGATTTTATAAAAATTTATATCACTTTTCATGCTATTTCTCTCAGGTAGGAAAGTTGGGATTAAAAGTCTAGTGTGGCCGGGCGCAGTGGCTCACACCTGTAATCCCAGCACTTTGGGAGACCGAGGCGGGCGGATCACCTGAGGTCAGGAGTTCGAGACCAGACTGGCTAACATGGTGAAACTCCCATTTCCACTAAAAATACAAAAAATTAGCCGGGCATGGTAGTGCACACCTGTTATCCCAGCTACTCAGGAGGCTAAGGCAGGAGAATCGCTTGAACCCAGGAGGCAGAAGTTGCAGTGAGCAGAGATTGCGCCATTGCACTCCAGCTTGGGCAACTAGAGCGAAACTCTGTCCCCCTGCCCCCCCAAAAAATTTCTAATGCAGGGCTGGGTGAGGTGGCTCATACCTGTAATCCCAGCACTTTGGGAGGCCAAGGCAGGTAGATCACTTGAGGCCAAAAGTTCAAGACCAGCCTGGCCAACAAAGTGAAACCCTGTCTCTACTAAAAATATAAAAATTAGCCAGGCATGGTGGTGCACACCTGTGGTCCCAGCTACTCGGTGGCTGAGGTGGGAGGATAACTTGAGCCTGGGAAGGTTGAGACTGCAGTAAGCTGTGATCGCACCATGCGCTCCAGCCTGGGTGACAGAGCAAGCAGAGAGAGACTCTGTCTCAAAACAAACCAAAAAAAAGTATAACGTAGGAAAAAGGGCTTACTGTGTGTTCAAACTACCAACTGTGATAGACTTTAAGCTGTAGCAGGGACTCAATCCGTGAGACTACAGGAATATGATGACTTAATTTAATAATAGTCTTATTTTAATAGTCTTGTTTTTTACAATTTATACAGCACTTTAACCAACATTTTATTTAATATAGAGTGAAAGGACATATAAACCACTTTAATTTCAAGACTGAGAGAAAAAAAAGTACCAACGTCAGGAAAACTGTAGAAGGCTTTAAATGGGCAATAACAATAAGTGGGTATCCTTTCGATGGAATGTCATAGTAGTCTGGCATTGGCTAGAACACGTTCAGAGCTATCTGATTCTACAGGAGCTACACCTCCCACTGCACGGACTGAGCTGTTTTAGAACTAGGTTGTAGAAAGCTGACAGTGATTCGAATGACCCTGTTCATGGAATCCCCATGAAGTCTGAGTGAAGATGCACTGCTTCTGCCCTGTAGAGGAGCCCAGTGGTTCATCTACAAACAAACCCATCCGGCATTTTGCATTGCCTGCCTATGTATCTATTCTTCCAATTACTTCTTTTTTTTTTTTAATTTTTGTCACCCAGGCTGGAGTGCAGTGGTGAGATTTCAGCTCACTGCAACCTCCGCCTCCCAGGTTCAAGTGATTCTCCTGCCTCAGCCTCCTGACTAGCTGGAATTACAGGCACCTGCCACCACGCCCGGCTAATTTTTATAGTTTTAGTAGAGACAGTGTTTCACCATCTTGGACAGGCTGGTCATGAACCAATTCCCTTTGAATCCTTCTTTTCCCTGTATCTTACTGGTTCCCTCATTAATTAATGAGTTAATTTTCAACATGTGTTATTTTATTTTTGTATGCATCATGGTTTTTGGATTTTGGTTTTGGATTTTACATCTTTTTATTTGTAAAATACTGTGTTACCTAACGCACCAAGCAGCTTGTCCATAATTGTGAGTATTTGTTAAAGCCACCTGGAACATCTGTTACACACATTCTCTGGGAAAGTGCAGTATCCACTTGAGGGTCATTCATTGTTGTATTTGAATCAAATTTAGAAAACTCTTAAGTTCCCATGAACTTAAGTTGATCCGACTCATTAGCAAGTGGTGCCCCCTGTCTGGAGGCAAAGCATACAGGGTCAGTAAAGGACTTGAGTGTGCCCTGACTTGCAAAGAGATAGTACTTAGGGGCCCATGCTAACCATTGAAGAGATGCAGCATCTTACTGCAACTTTTCTTTCCTTTGGCCTGGTAGTGAAGAGGCCTTAAGCCAAGGTCCTAGAAATATTGGTAAGGCCACTGGAGACTCCATGTCTGCAAACTATTCGGATGTGCTGTTGGCCATGGAAAATGGGAAAACCTGCTTATGAGGCTGAGATGGAGGAGATGCGGCATTTACAAATGCTCCTGCAGGATGTCCATGAGATGAAAACTAATTTCATAATAATACTAATTCTCCTATCAGCACACGATGTTTTCTAGAGGCTTCATGATACCGTTAGTCTGACACAAATGGAATGTGTGCTCTAGAATATTTTAAATTTTTTTCAGTATTAAGCTCCAGTAGAGCAAGTATCAGTAGATATAACCCACACAAATGGAAGCACATTGACTTGCAGGACAACACAAGAGAAAAGAGTTGAGAACCATGAAGTGAAGCAACAAGGCTGGCTGGGTCCAGTCTTACCTGTGACGCACGGCAAGTGGCAAGACTTTTTTTTTTTTTGAGACAGAGTCTCGCTCTGTCGCCCAGGCTGGAGTGCAGTGGCGCGATCTCCGCTCACTGCAAGCTCCAACACCTCCAGGGTTAACGCCATTCTCCTGCCTCAGCCTCTCTAGAAGCTGGGACTACAGATGCCCGCCACCAAGCCCGGCTAATTTTTTGTATTTTCAGTAGAGACGGGGTTTCACCGTGTTCGCCAGGATGGTCTCGATCTCCTGACCTCGTGATCCGCCCACCTCAGCCTCCCAAAGTGCTGGGATTACAGGCGTGAGCCACCGCGCCCGGCCGTGGCAAGACTTCTCGGTCCCACTTTTCTCATCTGCAGCAGGGGAGTTTGTCTGGCTGCACTTTTTCCCCTCTTGACACCTTGAACACTAAGACTCGAGGATCCTCCAACACTGAAGTGCCTCAGGAGGCAGCTGTGGCCCTTCAGAGTTGGAGGATCACGGAATTTTGCAGGTTAGCAAACTTAATTAACCTCCGTAGGGTCTCACAGGCTGAGGTGTGGTGGGATTAGGATTCAGACCAAATCTGTCTCCCCAGTAACCACGCACTTAACTGTGCTGTTTCACACTGCTCGTTACGCGAAGGGAACACCATGGCGGGGTGGGGGTGGGGACAACCTAGTCTGACCTTTTGGGGTTCAGGGGCCAAGAGAGGGGTCTCACTATGTTGCCCAGGCTGGCCTCAAACTCCTGGGTTCAGGCGATCCTCCCACCTCAGCCTACCAAGTAGCTGGGATGACAGGTGTGCACTTTTGCACCCGGCAGCTCTGATTTTAAAGCGTTTTCCCCTCTTTTGGATTTAACCTTAAAGGATATTTTCTTTGTTGGTCTATTTTCTTTGATGTCTTTGGTAACGCCTTTATACAATATGAAAAAAAACCCTGGTTATTTCTTTTGTTTTTAGGGTAGCTGAGTCCTTATGCACATCCGGGAACTGGGCATTAGAAATAATAAATTTCCCAAATTTATCTAGGTTTTTCTTATGGTTTGAATATACAGAATAATAAATATATAGAATAATATAGCACTATAAAATGCACTAACTTTTAAATAAATTTTGCTTCTTTCCAAGAGAAATTGCCACTTTAATGCTGTTTTCTGTTCATCTGTCATTGCAAGAAACTCATTTACCTGGTTAAAAAAAAAGATGAGACAAATATATCTGAAGTTTACGAAGAAAATTCGTTTTGACAACAGTGAGAAACAAACTTTCTCATTAGAAATGAAATTTTAATTTGCAGTAATTATAGCTCAACCGTTTGTTTTTGTTTTTAGAGACAGGGTCTCACTCTGTCGCCCAAGCTGGAGTGCAGCAGTGCGACCACAGCTCACTGAAGCCTCAAACTCCCGGGGTCAAGCAATCCTCCCACCTCAGCTTCCCAAGTTTCTGAAATTACAGGTATGCACTATTATTCTCTGGCTAATGGTTTTATGTTTTATTTTTTGTAGAGACACTATGTTGCCCAGGGTGATCTTGAACCCCTGACCTCAAGTGATCCTCCTGCCTCAGCCTCCCAAAGTGCTAGGATTACAGGTGTGACCCACTATGCCCAGCCAACTCAATTGTTTTGATAGACAAGATAAGGCAGGAAAGGCTAGATAAGCAGAATCTCTAAAGGCAATCAGGTAGCTCAGTAAGGAAAAATCCCTTCAATAAAGTGGAAGCAGAATTTGGAATTAAAGTCTAATGGCAAATTTCATGAGCTGGTTTTAACAATAAAAAGCAAGTGCCTATTGCCAAATGCACATGCTAATCCCTAAGTGTTATCTGCTGCTGTTCTGTAGCTGCAAACCAGGGAGAAAATGTGTAGCTGATTTCATGTAACTGAGTAGGTGAAACACAGCCAAATCCTCCTAGAAAAACCACCTTATGACTGATCAACATCTCCAACTTGTTTTACCCCTTGTTACTTGACTATATCAAACATCATGTTTCCTCGGTTGGTTTTTTTTTTTTTTTTTTTGAGACAAGTCTTGCTCTGTAACTCAGGCTGGAGTGCAGTGGCGTGATCTTGGCTCACTGCAACTTCCACATCCTGGGTTCAAGTGATTCTCGTGCCCCAGCCTCCTGAATAGCTAGGATTACAAGTGCATGTCACCACACTCAGCTAATTTTTGTACTTTTAGTAGAAATGGGGTTTCACCATATTGGCCAGGCTGGTCTCAAACTCCTGACCTCAAGTGATCTGCCCTCCTCGGCCTCCCAAAGGACTAAGATTACAGGCCTCAGCCACTGCACCCAGCCCTAAAACATCATGTTTATTTATCCATTTAGGCTAATGGCCTCAGTCATTACTCATAATAGTAAATATTAGCTAGGATTTTAATATATGTAACATTTGTTCATGAAAGCAATGTGTGTTTAAAGCAAGATGATTTTTTCCCAGACTGTTTATTAGTGAATCAATTTCTATCAAATGTTTGACAAAACCACCTCTATTTTTGGGGGAAAAGCATTCACTTTGGAAATATTCTAAGCATTTCTTCCTTTTTGCTATTTACCGTGCAGCCCAAAGTCTCCTCAGCAACACTTCCTGTGAGACTACAGGAATGAAGGGTGCCTGTGTGATCAGTCAGATCAATCAGCATATCGAAACTGAGAAAGACAGATTTAAAGTCCAAGGAGTTTTTGTTGCAAATTGTGCACATGTTAGATGCTTCATTTACTATATAACCACAGGTGGAACTGAAAAGAAACAAAGACAATCATAAAATGTGATGCCCTAAGTGACAAATTTCATCTCTAGCAGAAAAAGAATTATCACTAAAAACTCTACGTCAGTGTATGCAAAACTTACTGAGTGTTCAGTGCTATGCAGTGTACCAGTCGTAAAAAACAGTAAAACACACTTTCTATGCAGCCATTCTCAGAATTCATCTGAAACTGCGTACACCAGTCCTCCACCTGCCCTCCCTTCTTCCCTCCCTCTGCCGAGTTCCTGCCAAGCCCTCCAGGTCCCTCCCAGTCTCATTTCCCTGCTGGTGCCCTCCCTTCTTGCATCCCAGCCCGCACCCTTTCCCTCTTGGAACAGCAGCAGAACGCAAGCCTCAGGACTGACTCATGCTGTCGCATCAGCTCCTTGTTCTCACCTCCCCCGCTGGGAGTTCTGAGGGCAGGAACTGTGTCTTGTGCCTGGAAAGCACGCGTTCAATAGCTGCTCACTGGATGGTCCTGCACGGGGCCTTCTCTACAAATAGAGAAAGCCTTGCAAGGCTGGCCAGGTGGCACCAGACGCTATTAACACTGCTGGTGATACACTCTCCTCTCTTTCAGTGGTTTATGCTATTCCAAATTTCTGAAGCAAGCCTTACTTTAGCAATCTTGAACAGGGAACCTAATTCAAATTTCTCAAATAGGGGAAATGAACTAAAGACAGTGGATTTTTGTCTAGCCACAGATCACTTGGTTCAGCAAATTGTAGATGCTTTTCCTCAGATATCAATAATAAATATACAGGGAAAAAATTAGTTTTTCAATTTTTGAAAACTGTTTTTCAAAAAACGAACACAAGGTCTTACACAGCATCCACATTAGTTTTTTCAATTTTAATACATCATAAAATGTTTTAAAAATCCAGAGGTCAGTATCTTGACTGTGGCAACAGATACACAAACCTACAAGTGTGATAAAACTAATTAGAACACACACACACGACTGCATGTGAACCTGGAGGAATTTGAGTAAGACCAGTGGATTGAATGGTGTCAATATCCTGGCTGTGACATGGTACTATTACTTGCAAATGGTATCGCTGGGGGAAATGGGGCAGAAGTCACAAGGGATCTCTCCTATTATTTCTTTTTTCTTTTTTTTTTTTTTTGTGAAGCGGAATCTCGCTCTGTCTCCCAGGCTGGAGTGCAGTGGCGCAATCTCGGCTCGCTGCAAGCTCCGCCTCCGGGGTTCATACCATTCTCCTGCCTCAGCCTCTCAAGTAGCTGAGGCTACAGGTGCCTGCCACCACGCCTGGCTAATTTTTTGGTATTTTTTACAGACCAGGTTTCACTGTGTTAGCCAGGATGGGCTCAATCTCCTGACCTCGTGATCAGGCCTCTTCGGCCTCCCAAAGTGCTGGGATTATAAATGTGAGCCACCACGCCCGGCCCTCTTATTATTTCTTATACTTCCATGCAAATCTAGGATTATCTCAATGAAAATTCTCATAAAAATCCATAGACTTTCCTAATAATATTAGACGTTTCTTGCCAAGCATCTTTTAGCTAAGAGTATTAAACCTACTGGAGTTTACTTTCTTTTTTTTTTTTTTTTTTTTTGAGACAGAGTTTCGCTCTTGTCACCCAGGCTGGAGTGCAATGGTGCAGTCTCGGCTCACCATGACCTCCACCTCCTGGGTTCGAGCAATTCTCATGCCTCAGCCTCCGAAGCAGCTGGGATTATAGGTGTCCATCACTATGCCCAGCTAATTTTTTGTGTGTTTTTAGTAAAGATGGTGTTTCACCATATTAGCCAGGCTGGTCTTGAACTCCCGACCTCAGGTAGTCCACCTGCCTCGGCCTCCCATAGTGCTGGGATTACAGGCGTGAGCCACCATGCCCGGCCTGGAGTTTACTTTCTATGCAAGTAAATATTAACTTCGATCTACAAGAGGTTGGATGTTTCCCAGGCTGGACTCAAACTCTTCAAACTCCTGGGCTCAACCGATCCTCCCACCTCAGCCTCCTGAGTAGCTGAGACTACAGGTGCATGCTACTGCACCTGGCTTGAAAATAATTTTTTTTTAATGCTGTCAGTACACTGCTGTAGGGCCTAGCAACCAAAATAGTTTTCTGCCAAATCATTAGACAAGTTTGTCAAAAGTTTCTCACATTATATCTTTATATGTTAGAATTATAGAAATATAGATTATTTTTTAAAAGGCAATTATAATATTTTAATCTAGTTTGCTATGGAAACTTTTCAGTATAGTTTTCTATACATTTATCTCAAATACGTAACCCCCATTATGTCAACAAACAGCTTTAACTTTTAGAGAGCTTAAAATTATATTAACAATAATTATTTCTTACAAAAATGAATTTGCTAAAAGAGACATGGATCCTTACCATCTGTTTCGAACTACTTTTGTAGTTTCATCATCAATGTTGAGTGTGGAAATGTAGGCATAAAGTATGCCATAGAAAGGATCAGCTTTTCCTTCATTCTTCAAAGCTTTTCCCTTTAATTGTTCAACTGTATAGACATCAACTATTGTACTTACTAAAAATAGAAAGAAGTATTACGGTCTGTATATATTCTTATAAAATAAAGGATTACATCTGAATGGAAAGCTATGACAAATGAGAACATGCAGTAGCTTAAGTAACAGAAAAATTACTATGTTGGGTATATAAACACTGATTCTATAAATGGACATAAAAGCAAAACATAAGAAAAAAAGGAAATGAAATTGGTCTTCATTAAAATGAAGAATTTCTGTTTATCAAAAGACACCATTAAAAAAGCAAAAAGGCAAGCCACAGAGTGGGAGATGCTAGCAGTCTACAATGAGATAAAGGACTCATCCAGAATTGTCTAAAGAATTCTTAAATATCAGTTAGAAAAAGAAAGTGACTTGGCTGGGCACAGTGGCTCACGCCTGTAATCCCAGCACTTTCAGAGACCAAGGCGGGCGGATCACCTGAGGTTGGGAGTTCAAAAGCAGTCTGACCAACATGGAGAAACCCTGTCTCTACTAAAAATAAAAAAAGCTGGGCATGGTGGTGCATGCCTGTAATCCCAGCCACTCAGGAGGCTGAGGCAGGCGAATCTCTTGAATCCGGGAGGCGGAGGTTGTGGTGAGCCGAGATTGCGCCATTGCACTCCAGCCTGGGCAATGAGAGACAAACTCCTTCTAAAAAAAAAAAAAAAAAAAAAGACAGTGATTCAATTTTTTCTTTTTTTCTTTTTTTTTTGAGACAGAGTCTCGTTCATTGCCCAGGTTGGAGTTCAGTGGCACTGTCTGGGATTACAGGCGTGCTGGGATTACAGGTGTGAGCCACCGTGCCTGGCGACAGTGACTCAATTTTTTAAATGCGGAAGTGACTTTTAAAAGTACATCACAGCCGGGTGCAGTGGCTCTCCACCTGTAATCCCAGCACTTTGGGAGGCCGAGGTGGGCGGATCATGAGGTCAGGAGATCAAGACCATACTGGCTAACATGGTGAAATCCCATCTCTACTAAAAAATACAAAGAATTAGCCGGGCGTGGTGGCGGGTGCCTGTAGTCCCAGCTACTCAGGAGGCTGAGGCAGGAGAATGGTGTGAACCTGGGAGACGGAGCTTGCAATGAGCCGAGATCATGCCACTGCACTCCAGCCTGGGTAACAGAGCAACACTCCATCTCAAAAAATAAAATAAAATAAAATAAAATAATTAATAAATAAAAGTACATCACAAAAGAAGTTATCAAAATGGCCAATACACGTACTGGTCTCAATAATCATCAGGAAAATACAAATTAAACAAGAGTAGGCTGGATGCGATGGTTCACGCCTGTAATTCCAACACTTTGGGAAGTTGAGACTAGTGGATCGCTTGAGGTCAGGAGTTCGAGACCAGCCTGGCCAACATAGCAAAACCCTGTCTCTACTAAAAATAAAAAATTAGCTGGGCATAGCAGTGTGTGCCGGTAATCCCAGCTACTTGGGAGGCTGAGGAAGGAGAATCGCTTGAACCCGGGAGGCAGAGGTTGCACTCAGCCAAGATGGCGGCATTGCACTCCAGCCTGGGTGAGAGCCAGACTCCGTCTCAAAAACAAACGAACAACCAAAAAAAAAAGAAAAAAACAAGAGAATTCCACTAAACACCTAACATTTAAAAGACTAATAACACAAACATTAGTGAGGATGTGAAGCAACAACAAAAATAAACTTTACAAAACTAAAAATAATAACCTATAATTCATTTTTATTTTTCTTTATCTTAGAAGAATCTTCCATGAACAAATATTATTCGGGTTAGAAAACTTTTATCAGAAGTTATCCGGTTCCTTCAGCACTTCATTGGTTTCTTTTCTTTTGTTGCTGTCTAGTACATGAAATTTAATTTTCTTCAATAAAAAGATGGTAATGTATATCTATTTATTTATATTTTTATGTCTTTATCTTTCTATTAGTATATATGCACGAAAAGATACACTAAAAGATGTTAACCAAATAACTGTTTATTTGGGGCTGTTGCTTGCATTCTGTATTATGTGTCTCTTTTTTTTTTTTAAGACGGAGTCTCGCTGTGTCACCCAGGATGGAGTGCAGTGGCGTGATCTCAGCTCACTGCAACCTCCGCCTCCTGAGTTCAAGCGATTCTCCTGCCTCAGCCTCCCGAGTAGCTGGAATTATAGGTGCCCCCCACCATGCCTGGTTCATTTTCTGTATTTTTAGTAGAGACAAGGTTTCACCAGGTTGGCCAAGCTGGTCTCAAATTCCTGACCTCAAGTGATCCCTCCACCTCGGTCTCCCAAAGTGCTGGGATTACAGGCGTGAGCCACCACGCCCAGCCAAGCATTCTGTATTGTGTTTCTTTTATTTTTTGAGATACAGTCTTGCTCTGACATCCAGGCTGGAGTGTAGCTTCACTCTGTCACCCAGGCTGGATCTCAGCTCACTGCAACCTCCACCTCCCAGGTTCAAGAGATTCTCCTGCCTCAGCCTGCCGAGTAGCTGGGATTACAGGCACATCCTGTGATGCCCGGCTAATTTTTGTGTTTTTAGTACAGATGGGGTTTTGCCATGTTGGCCAGGCTGGTCTTATGAACTCCTGGGCTCAAATGATCCACCCACCTCAGCCTCCCAAAGTGCTGGGATTACAGGTGTGAGCCATTGTGCCGAGCCTACTTTTAAAATTTTGAGCATTTTAATTTTTAATAAAAATATAAAAGCTCTAAAGAAAACATGATTATAGTTTTACCCTGAAATATTTAATCAATTTTTACCTATAAGGTTTTCATGGGAGTAATGAGCATTTTAAAAGATAAAAAAGGCCAGGCACGGTGGCTCACGCCTGTTATCCCAGCACTTTGGGAGGCCAACGCGGGCAAATCGCTTGAGCTCAGGAGTTTGAGACCAGCCTGAACAACATGGTGAAACCCAGTTTCTACCAAGAACACAAAAAATTAGTTTTTGCTTTTATAAATCTGAGTAAATTTAACTATCAAAGTTCCCACAGTAAAATAAAAGGGACGCTTAAAAACTATTTTTAGGCCAGGGCTGGTGGTTCATGCCTGTAATCCCAGCACCTCGGGAGGCCTAGTCAGGCGGATCACCTGAAGCAGGAGTTCGAGACCAGCTGGCCAACATGGTGAAACCCCATCTCTACTAAAAATACAAAAATTAGCAGGGCGTGGTGTCGTGTACCTGTAATCCCAGCTACCCAGGAGGCTGAGGCAGGAGAATCACTGGAACCCAGGAGGCAGAGGCTGCAGTGAGCCGAGATTGCACCACTGCACTCCAGCCTGGGTGACAT